CTGTTTCTACGGTCGGGATTCCGAAAGTGCCACCTAAATGCATCTTTACTTGACTCAGTCTACCCTCTCGTGTATTGAAATCTTCTGCAAAAACAACTACAATGACTGGCTTTCAGCATGAGAATAAACAGTTTTCGATAGAACTCATCTTTCACTGTATCCGAACTTCTGTCATTGGTGCGTAACGAGAGATTAGGAAGCAAACAAGCTACTGTATATTGGGATCCAGTCAAGTAGTGAACTTTCTGCATCAGTGCTTAGTGCTTCATCTGCATCTGAAAGACCACAAGATCTAGAGATCAAGTCTTCAGAAACTCGAAGGGTGAATTTAGCAGTTACACTATTTCGACCTGAATAGGCTAATTATGTAACCGTACTTGGGTCCTGTGTAAGTGTCTTGAAAATAGAACACAGGTCCATGGCCCAAGATGCTAGAGTTTTGAATGGTGAAGGTTGCTGGCCAATTCGGTGATGGATGAAGACATCTAAAGCTTCAATATGAATTTTGTTCGGAAAAAGAAAATTTTCCTCGCTGAATTTTGTTCCGTAAACGCAGATCGCTGTGAAGAGCTGCAGCGCTGGAAAGAATTTAAGATGATTTGAGAATGTTAATTAAGAGACATGAAGGAAGACTAGGAGATGGGGGTGAGGGAGCTCTAGTGGTTACAAAGTTATGTATCAGTTGACACTTCTTGGCTGTCCACACCATAAAGGCCGGTTCTTCTTGAGGTAGCTGAAAAAAGGGTTAGTTGGTGACTTCAGAGACCAAGAGACATCTAATCGAGACCGATCGTACACGGTGTTTTTGGAAGTTTGGCATTTTAGTTTGTTAATTTTGAAGCTGGCTATATACATATGCCACCGGCACCGGCATGCCGTGGGGTGGATGTGCGCTACTTCTAGAGCTAATCTTTTCTAACTTTACTGTAACCATCGGGAAGGCAGCACCAGAGGGGAACTGATAGTCACCGGAGACAACACCTTACCCCTGTCACACTCCTGTCCCTCTGACAGTACAATTTTGCCTTCAGACCCCCACTGCGCTACAACAGTAACTGCTTTTGGTCTCACCACTACCCAGCAAACCTTCGTGGTTTGACACAGTCTTAAGTGAACAAGCATTGTAACCGGCGGAGGTAGTTGGTACTTTGTGATATACAGCGAGACACTACTTCAAGGTGGCAGCTGTCAGTTAAGCAACTTTATGTCCATTTAAATATCATCACTTATGGATTAACGGTGGTATCATCAATTGGAATTATTTAATACGTGACCATTATACGCGACCATATATACTGGATTTCGATTCATAATTCGAATGAAATCAGCTGATATAACGCCAAAGCGATTATGATTATAATACTCATGAAGTTTTTGATCTAACCTTACAATTTATAAACAAAATGTTTGACACCACTGAATGTCAACTGCCTTCCAAATTGTTGTACTTTTATAATCTGAAATTGTCAGTAGAGTAGTTTGTGGGACATTAATTATTGTGTAGAGTTATCTAATACTAGTTGATATAAACTTATTTTGAACGTTTTAAATCAAAAAACAGGTGAGAGTAATTAGTTTTAGTACATTTGTATAACCTGTGTTATGAAACTTTTCATACATTTCAATATCATTATTTTTAGAACAATTTTTCAGTGGATAACTCTTCCATAAATTTGTATAACCCTATATCTAACTGAACAAGCATATAAAAACGTGAAATAACAAGGACGGTTTAAGATCTAATCACGAGTACGTTGAACATAGCTTCTTATTTAATCAGAAACTTAATGCAACATATTTCTTGAACACGGAAGTCAACTGAATACGATGACCATGAATCCCTGAGATAGTGATCAACAATAGAAGCAATATCTTGTATAAAAACAACATCTTGTTAAACGATCTTTATTTGGTTTCTTGGCATCATTTCATAGTTTATGGTGATCTAACACCTCACGTGTCTCCGCTTGATAAATAGTTTTGGTCACAACATACACTCAGTCTGTCTGTATGTTATTCTATCACAGATGTTCGTCTGGAGGATACATATAAGATGCATATACATTTGTTTTCCTTAAATGCTAAACGTGAGGGTAATTTGGCGAAGGATGAAATGTCAACACGCAGCACCCTTTCACGAAGTCTCTTACTTGTGGCCTAATCCATATAGAAAACCATAAGCCAACTAAATAAGATACTAGGTTAGATGTTTGACGATCCGATATTGCATGGCTTAAAAAGATTGCAGTGGAATGAACTTGATCATTTAGTGTCTTTTTAAATTCATCATGCTTGTGTTGTTTTGATTTGATTTTCCTTTTCTTTAGTCGTGTGCTTCTTGACTTGTATCTTATTATTCATTAAACTAAAACAATCTCCTTTTAAGTGGCTCCATTGAACCAAAAGGTTTCTACTCATCTATTCCATACTATTACATCTGCCTGTATCTTCCTACAAAGACGATAATATATTTTTCACTTAAATTCAATCATCTAATCACTGAAATATCTGAAATTCATATTTTTGTACAAAATTATACTGTTAAACATTTTTAGACGAACTGCAGAGAAAATATTTTTCAAGTCTATTAGGATGATTCAACAATTCCCATTCTTAGTAGAAATTTTAATTATAAAAACAAAGAATGAGTGAAGAATCCTCGAAATATAAACAGTTTTGTGCGGTCTTTTAATTGAAATGAGTGAAAAACTTCAAATAACCCAGCGAAAGAATTGAGCAGGTAATAACGAATTAAAACAAGTCTTTTAAAGATGCTGAATCAGTTGTGCGAAATTGAAAAACGGATGCAACATGATTTTGAGATGTTACTGTGGTGTTCTTCAAGTAGTAAAACTTTATGATAATAAATTCCAATCTGGTCTACACCAAGTGTGGAACAAGTGAAGAATACAGAAAATCTGCACTATGTATTCCTTACTTGTCGACATTCATACTTAGATACCATTTTGACTAATCAATTGCTTTATAGGAGCAAGCCATACTATGGTCAACTGCTTGGCTTATTTTAAGCAGAACTCATTAGCAGTGTATGACTCAAACTACTTCAATCAACTGGTAATACGTAGAACATCTTGCAAGCTTCTTATTCGACAGAGATCAGTTTCGCTTAAAAACTGAACTGTATTAAAAAAACATTTAGTGTTAATAGAAAATTAGACAACAGCCACTATTAAGTTGCTGTGCTCCGTTACAAGAATTTCTTCTTCCAAGATCAAAAGCATTTTTTATATAGAGAATGTGAAAATTTTAACATCAGCGTTCTTTAACTTTGAATTTTTCATTACAGCTGGAGAAGTGAATTCGTTATTCAGCGCCATCAACGCAAGCATATACTAAGACTAAAGTACCATTAAATTGCAGTCCGTTTGGTGGCTAGCCGTGGAATCCTTGACTCGTGTTTCATCCCATTCGAGACTATTCAACTGAATGAATAAGTAACCAGTGACTGATGTAGCTAAAACTGAGACTCGAATCCAATACCCATATCTTAAAATGCCAGGTCATTATCCACTGAACCGGTAGGAGCAGCATCACTCACTGGGGTGAAGGAACACCCAACTGACGAGTCCCAGGTGAGAATAAACGCTCATTCTGAATCCCACTGCTTCACACCAACAAGGACATTACAGTCGAATGGACAGTGAGTCAGTATCGAAGCCAAGTAATTCGATCTAGTTTAAGCAACGCAAAATTACAAGTATCAATAAACAATAAAGTTACATTAACCCTATTACCTTATCACTGCACAGATTGATATTTCAATTTCAAAATCAATAACTCAGGGTCACCAAATAGAGGTATTTAGATATTTAGAACCAGTTAGAACGACCCGTATTACTCAGCCAGGATACTAAGGGTCATAAACAGTAATAATGTGGATCAAATAAATGATATTCAACGCCAAGTAAAAAGAGGAGCAGTAGAATAACTAATATTCACAATGGAAAGCTCAGTGATGCGTTTGAAGTAAAGTGAAGACACAAGTAAGACAAGGTTGCCGTCTACTATCACTCATCATATTCCTGGTTGTGGTGGACTGGACTAAACTGTGAGGAGCGTGAAGATAAGCATACGCTAGCTGGACCGACGAAAAGACCCCAGAAGAAGATTTGGACTTCGCCGATGATGGTGATTTATGTCGGTCTAGTGTCGCACAAACTCGAAGATCCACAGGCAAAAATCAACAAGTTACCAGAAGAGACAAGGCAGTGAAAACAGGACTTCAAGTGAATGTAAAGAAGACGGAGGTGATGAAGGAACTCAACCAACAAAAACAACGACAACAGGCAGCAATCACCATCAACTGGAGAAATCTAAACGAAATTGTCTGCTTCACCCGCCAAGGAAGCATCTTTTCAACCACGGGCGGTGGCATAGATGAGGATGTTAAAGCCAGGATCGGAAAGACAGCAGGACAGGCCTTCATGGATGTGAAATAATCACTGTGGAGGACTACTGCACTCAGCGTAAAGCGTGAACGAGATCCAGGTTTTCAAGACTGATGTCAGTCAAGTCAGTGCTTCTATGTGTTGGTTCAGAAAACTTCCGCGTTACGAGAAGCATTTCCAACAAACTACAGACATACATCGCACCAGCAGCTGCTGCCTACGCTCTATACTGAGGATCAGATGGCCAGAAAGAATAATTAACAAGGAACTTTGGCTATCAACGATCAACCAGGAACCTGTCACCCAACAAATATGCATAAGAAAGTAGAGATGGATTAGATTGGACATACACTGTGAAGACCATTTTCGGACATCATGCGCCAGTCTCTCAGGTGAAACCCGACAGGGGGAAACAACGAGTTGGGCGTCCGAGTGTGACATGGAGGAGACTGCGTGAGGAAGAAATGAAAGCTTGTGGGCAGTAGTGGAGCCAGGTTTAAAAGACTACAGAGAAGTGAATGCAGTGGAGGGGTGCTACTGAAGCGCTGTGTTCCACTAGGAATTCCAGGGACAAATAATAAAAATAATAAAGAAATAACTAAATTTTTAATAATCACAGTAAAAAAGGAACCTGAAAATATGCATCTTACAACAACCATCATAAACAACAAAGGTAATTTTTCGTATAGTTATTATCCAGTATTCATATCCGCTACCTCGATAAACAACAGCAAATTCTAGCTGATAAGATCTGAACTCTGTTGAAAATAATGAAGTTTCATTAATTAAAACAAAATGTAGTTTAACTTCTGATTCATACGTTTCTATTGACTGGAAGTCATTGTGTGATTCCGTTAAGTGATCCAATTTTGTCAATGGAGAACATTCTGTATAGGTTTGCCAGTGATCCAGTGTATAGCGTAGTCGAACTTCTGCAGAAAAGTCTGGATAACCTTGGCTACTTGCAATCGTTTTAACCTGGACGTGAATAGAATGAAAATTGTTCGACCAGCAGTGGCAAAGACATACTTTTTGTTCTAGAAGACGTTGTATGAAATAGGTACAGTTGATTGGATTTGTAAACTGGGGTTTCCATTTCTGTTGAAAATAAGGGAAATGAATAAAGGAATAGTAAGTTAAAATAAATCCCAGACTGATTAACTACAAAGATGTTCAGTTGTGAAAAGAGTGTTTATTACGAGCTGACATCCATTACTACTCCGTATGGGATTCAGGAACGCTACATAGTTGCTTGCCCCTTGTTTGAGACCTCAATAAATCTGCACTAACGACTTCATACTGGTTTCGAACTCAGCACCATTATGTCTGTTGATGGTAGTGATGGGTGCATAACACATGAAATTTGAATATGTTTAAAGTTTATTCAAACAACTGAACCAATTCATTTTGACAACAAAGTAAGACAATAACATGACTATGATTTACGCATTGGTATTCACTGAACAGCAGCGTATTCTTGAATGTGTCTAGACTTTCGGCAATCAAACTGGGAGGTCAGAACTCACCAATACCCTTCAAAATAGATCCAGGAACTCCGTCAACTAGACACAGGAAAGCTTTTATAGGAAGGCTATTAATTACTTAGGTAAGATGGAATTAGAGGAGTCCCCAAAGCTTCCAAAGTGAGACGGAACACAAGAGACCACAACTGATTGGTAAACAGGCTGAGATTAAGATGGTATTCTAGACAAACAATAATTCTTTGGATCTTGGTTACCAAATGAAATAGAATAATTTGTCGTGAATAATGAAATGAAATTCTTCTCAGGTCAAGTATCTTCTGAGTACATTGATAAAAACCTCATCTAGAGTGTAGACCGCAAAATTTAAATCACCTGATCCACAGCTTATGAAGACTAAGTGAAAATTATTAAATCACTTCTGCAAAATTCGGTTTGTCATAAGCACTTAGAACTGAAACACATTGTATGAATGAAACATTACAGCATTTTAACAACGTTGTCACTGACACTATGAGTGCAATAAATTGGCCTTGAAATCCAGCAGTGCTTAATGAATCGAAACCATCCATGTAACCACTGGCTAATACAACCCTGCAGACGGTGCTAAGTTCAGAAATCTGTACTATAATATTATCAAAACCGGCTAAAATGATGGAAAATTCTGAAAATCTTTCAACCCTATCCTTAGAAAGATGGACTACAAGGATTGTTGAAGTAACCAGTCACAGGTAAGGAGACTAAATCTGTCTACCCTAAGAAATTCATTCGAAACAAAGGGATAAAATGTCATTCAAAAGGAAGAGAGAATGTCAAAACTACTTTTTATTCCTATGAAATGCAATAAAAACCATGCTCAGGAGAACAATATTTTTCTATGTAGGAAGAATAAAAGTCATTTGAAGGGCAAATGTTGGGAGTACAACTGTTTCTCAGAAAGTTTACTACATTACATTAGTAATATTTTAATTTCATATCAGCGGCTTAATATTTTGCCCGTAGTAAAATTTAATCGATGTCGTTATGATAGAAATAAACAGACTTACTGATAACTATTCTATCAATGCTATGATAACTACCAGGAATGTAATACAAATCTAATCTCTTCTAAATCACCCTTACACCCGATAAACTTGTTTTTTTTGGTCTTATGTTTTAATTATTAGTCATCAAATCTTTATCAGGTAACCTCCTAGAATATTTAACGAGTGGGTTTCTACAGTATAACAATATTTAAATAAATACAACCACTAGTAGTAAAGGTTACGGGGTAAATAACCTTGGGAAAACAGCCATTTTTATGTATTCGCTTATAATCAAAAATACACTACGATGAGACAATGTGACATGATCGAAGAAGTGGTCCGTTAGCCGACTCCTCATTTATTCATTCACCTTTCGAATTAAACAGAACCAATGACTGAACACTTAATACAGATATAGGGAGATAAAATGCATTGAATAATCACTATGAAACTATCTCACTTTCCTAAGTATCAAATTCAAAAACCCTCTCTGGAAAATATTTTCCCAGTTTTTATTAGACGTTTTCTTGATGATTGTCAACTATTTAGTGATCTGCATTTAAGAATTCGATCGTATTGATACCATAAATCTTAGACTATGGATAATGAACTAAGCATCCAGTTCATTTAGTGCCTAGTTGTCGAACTGAGCGAATGTGACCCTAGAATTCCCTTAAAACCTAAATATCATTTTTTTTCAGATTTTATCAAGAAAATGTAAAGAACGTGTACACTGCTTGCTCGCTTCATAATTTTCAGTATTAAGTTCTCAGTTTTTTGTTGGTGTCTCCATAATCTACAATTGATGTCATAATGTTATATATTGAAACTAGTCACAATTACGCTAAAAAGTATTCATACTGGTCAATCCAAATCATTGCCGACTCCTTACACATCCAAATATTTTAGTTACTGCCAATGACTTGATCCTTCCTAATCCCTTAGGACATAAGTTTGATCGAGAAAATGACGAAATGTAGATTAGAAGAAATCCAAAGAATGTGAGGGAATTTTTAAAAGCGTAACACTCAGATCATTTGGTAATCAACAGACATATTGACAATAATCCAAACTACCAACCAATAAGTAATGTAGAAGATAATAAATAGGTCGAATGTCATGTCAGCCAACCTATAACAACCAGTCATACAACACAAGGTTATCAGAATAAGTTACTTAGCAACTCGAATAAAACATCTGAAAGCTCACTTTTTACTAAGATTCAACTAGTGACATTAGCTAGAATGTCACTGAAAGCTGCACAGTTAAACCATCTAGCTCAGAGAACTACACACCATGAAAGTCGTCTACCTGAAGTACAAATATTCTCCATCACTTTTGAACTATCTCCCTAGTACTTTCGCTGACAGAAACTAACATGAAAGTGTTCTGTTTTGTTCTACACATTTTACATGTAATTTGATTTCGCATGAATCCTGATTTTAATTTCATATTAGATTTGTTCATTTGCTTTATAAAACACAGTGATACAGTATTATTTATTTGATGATGTTTCGAGTCCACATTATTCCTTATAGTTATATCAATGTAACCATACTGCTTTCGACATTTGATTTTTATAGTCCTATCACTTCACTAAATCAACACCCAACACATAATAGAAATGACGCAACATCTATACCAGAGATATGGAAAATTTTACTACCAATAAAAACAAACGATATGGGCTGGCACGGCTATAAAAATTAGATATTGAAAGTAATGTGATTACATTGACATGATTATGAGCAATGATAATATACGCTCGAAACGTCATTAAGTAATGCTGTATCACAGTGTGTTATAGACCAAACAAACAAATCTAATATGGAATTAAATTCTACCAAGTTTTATACGTATTAGAATCCTGATTTTGTCTTCATTTTTACCTTACATGATGTATACTAGTTATACTGGCCCATTTCACAGGCTCGTGACCACATCCGGTTTTTATTTACTTGCTATCATTTTGCAGTCAGTGACTACTCCACATCTGTGTTTTAATTCAGAATTCTGTGAAAGGATTTACTATGTGAATCGACAAACAACTTGGCCGACTTCAAATGACTGACTAACCAAATCCTCATATCAATAAAGGTTATTTCTGACTGCTCGCTTGGCTCAGCAGTGTAAACTGGAAACTAAAAACAATTTATTCAATTATCAGAAAACTAATTCACTTTGCTTTTTATAGTCATCCTCATATTTGTGTTTCCAGTTTGACTTCCAGTTGACACAAGTTATCTGAGAACATCTGGTGAGAGTAGGATGTTTTGGTATGAATTATTTGGTCCTGGTGAATGTCAGTAGTCATGAACAAATGTTTTAAGGGTCTAAATCTCCAAAGCTTTAAATTATTTGAGTTATAAGGGAGGAAGAGATTCACTGGACTTAATGTACCTAGGCGACGTGATAATTAGTCCACAAACATATATGTCATATAAGTATTAGTGAAGAAACGGATATTGGAGAGCACTGGTAGAGTGAGTTTGAACCAAAATAACAACTAAAAGCAATCACGAAAAACAAATATTTATCAGCATGGTCCTTTATCATCAAATTATCACTGTCAAGTCCCTATAAAATGAGTGGGATGGTTTGTAAAATCTTTATTTATCAAAAAAAGTCTAACGATTTTTGTCAAAGGGAATCAGTTCAGAAGAAAAGGTATTTGGTAACATTTCACAAGAGCTGACGGTTAAGAATACATGAACTAGTATCACTATTTCACTTTCAAGCCTCCTAGGCCGTGTAACCTCTACAACTGACTCGTACAGATGTCTTTTGACACTTAAGTTCTGAAGCAAAACATTCGCACAAGCTGATTTCAGGGATCTGGAGCCAAGCAAAGAGTAATGGTACACCAATTCGCTGAAAATAGTAGCTACATTACAACCTTTAATTAACAAGCTAAAAATGGGACTTCGCTTTCAAAGCACCACAATGGTTACCAAAGTATGTCTAGCCACTCAAGCATAACCGAAGCTGATATTTACTGAACTCCTTCCAAAATGACTTCAAGAAAAATGTATGGTACTCTTAAATTTTGTGATGACAACAGTACTGTCGAACTCAGTATACAAACCGGTATTTTCTCACTTTAGGCAAACTGTCTAATAGTAGACAGATATATTACTATACATTCATCCGTAAAAAACTCAGTGGTTGCTTATTGACCGTTTTATTGTCCACGAATGATCTATTATGGTTGAATTATGACTACGCTGACGAGGCCATATCCTGTGAGAATAATGAGGTTTATTCAGTTACAAAATGCAAAGCATACACTGTATCAGTTTGTTAGTAGTCTGATATTCATTCAGCTGAGCTTCAAGTGTAGTCACTGCTCCAGTGTACTAAACTACTAGTTGCTAAGCTCATGAACAAAATTATCATTTTGCCCGACAGGTCGAGTATCTACATAATTAAATAGGGTTACAATATTTTCTTGAGCAATACTGACATATTTAGTAAGAAGGTTTAATCCTGAGTTGTTTGATACAAAATATTAGAGTCAATGGTTTCATTAAAGGGATATTTATCTTTGATAATGGAGTGAATAATCAGCAGATAGACAAAAGTATCGAGTATT